ATACTTTACAGTGTCTGGATAAAAAGATGTTTGCGTACTTGTAGATCACATGAATGTGAGAAGAATAACCAATATGTTGATTTTTAAAATATCGACATTTGAATTGATCTTATCAGATTGAAATGACTTGCTAAATTGAACAAAATTAGGTTTAATAAAAGTCAGTATAAGTGCCTGAAAAATTCGTTGAGCAGACACAAGATGGGAAGCTTTTACTTAACAGTTTCCTTTGTGTGTGTAAGTGCCGTGGGGTAGGGGAAAATAACCTTATGGTTCTAGATTAGAAAGATTTGATGAGAATGAACAAGGTAATGTGATTGCCAAAAAAGTTAGTTTCATTCCTATTTACAAAGTACTCAGAGAATTTATGATGTCGTAGGTGTACCTAGGGTTCAGTGTCTAATAATGGAAGTAATATTACATTTCTTGGGGTGTAGAAAGATCAATTCTACCTAGGAGAACCAACATCTTCCACACAGCAAATGTTCAATAATTATATATGTATATATTTTCCTTTTATTAATTTTTGTTTTTGAGACAGAGTCTCCTTCTGTCTCCCAGTTTGGAGTGCAGTGGCTTGATCTCAGCTCACTGCAAGCTCTGTGATATGGTTTGGCTGTGTCCCCACCCAAATTTCATCTTGGATTGTAGCTCCCACAATTCCCATGTGTTGTGGGAGGGACCCAGTGTAAGGTTATGGAATCATGGGTGTGGGTCTTTTGCATGCTTTTCTCAAGATAGTGAATAAGTCCCATGAGATCTGATGGATTTGTAAAGGGGAGTTCCCTTGCAGAAGCCCTTTTCCCTGACACCATGTAGGATATGACTTTGCTTCTCCTTTGCCTATTGCCGTGACTATGAGGTCTCCCCAGCCATGTGGAACTGTGAGTCCATTAAACTTCATATTCTTTATAAATTACCCAGTCTTGGGTATGTCTTTATTAGTAGAGTGAGAACAGATTAAAATAGCAAATTGGTTCCAGGTAGTGGGGCACTGCTGTAAAGATACCTGAAAATGTGGAAGTGACTTTGGAACTGGGTAACAGGCAGAGGTTGGAACAGTTTGGAAGGCTCAGGAGAACAAAGGAAGATGTGGGAAAGTTTTGAACTTCCTAGAGGTTTGCTGACTGTCTTTGACCAAAATGCTGAATGTCTGAATGTCTTTGACCAGGGCATGTCAGAGATCTTCACAGCAGCCCCTTCCATCATAGGCCCAGAGGCCTAGGAGGAAATACTGGTTTCCTGGGCTGGGCCCAGTGTCCCCCTGCTGTGTGCAGCCTTAGGACTTGGGGCCCTGCCTACCAGCTGCTCCAGCCTTGGCTAAAAGGGGCCAAGGTAGCTCAGACCATGACTTCAGATGGTGCAAGTCCCAAGCCTTGGCAGCTTCTACGTGGTGTTGGAAACCTCCACCTAGTTTTCAGAGGATGTATGGAAACATCTGGATGTCCAGGTAGACGTGTGCTGCAGGGGCAGAGCCCTCATGGAGAAACTCTGCTAGGGCAGTGGAGAAGGGAAATGTGGGAGTGGTGCCCCCACACAGAGTCCCCACTGAGGCACTACTTAGTGGAGTTGTGAGAAGAGGGCCACCATCCTCCAGACCCCAGAATGATAGATCCACTGACAGGTTTCTCTGTGCATCTGGAAAAGCTGCAGACTCTCAATGCCAGCCTGTGGAAGCAGCAGGGAGGGCTTTGTACCCTGCAAAGCCACAGGAGTGGAGTTGCCCAAGGCTGTGTGGGCCCACCTCTTGTATCAGCATGACCTGTATGTGAGACATGGAGTCAGAGTAGATCATTTTGGAAATTCAAGGTTTAATGACTGCCCTATTGGATTCCAGATTTGCACGGGGTCTACAGCCTTTTGTTTTTGCCAATTTCTCCAATTTGGAACAGGTGTATTTACTCAGTGCCTATACCCCTGTTGTATCTAGAACATAACTAACTGGTTTTTGACTTTTACAGGCTCATAGGAAGAAGGGACTTGCATTGTCTCAGATGAGACTTTGGCATTGGGCTGTGTGTTAATGCTGGAAAGAGTTAACACTTTGGGGGTCTGTTGGGAAAGCATGATTGTGTTTTGAAATGTGAGGACATGAGGTTTGGGAGGAGCCGGGGGAAGAATGATATGGTTTGACTGTGTCCCCACCCAAATCTCATCTTCAGTTGTACCTCCCATAATTCCCATGTGTTGTTAGAAGGGACCCAGTAGGAGGTTATTGAATCATGGGGACAGATCTTTCATGTGGTGTGCTCATGATAGTGAATAAATCTCATGATACCTGGTGGTTTTGTAAGGGAGAGCTTCCCTGCACATGCTCTCTTCCCTGCTGCCATGTAAGACATGACTTTGCTTCTCCTTTGCCTTCTGTCATGATTGTAAGGCCTCCCCAGTCATGTGAAACTGTGAGTCCATTAAATCACTTATTTTTTACAAATTACCCAGTTTCAGGTATGTCTTTATTAGTAGTGTGAAAATGGCCTAATATAATCCACCTCCTGAATTCAAGTGAATTCAGCCTAATATAACCCACCTCCTGATTCTCATGCTTCAGCCCCCCAAGTAGCTGTGAATCTCCCAAGAACGAAATAATTCTTGTGCCTCAGCCTCCCAAGTAGAATTACAGGCATGTGCCACCACACCAGGCCGATTTTTTTTTGTATTTTTAATAGAGATGGGATTTTGTCATGTTGACCAGCCTAATATTAAATTCCTGAACTCAAGTGATTTGGCTGCCTCAGCCTCCCAAAGTGCTGGGATTGCAGGCATGAGCTGTCATGCCCAGCCCAGTGAGTGCACTTTTAGTAGGTTGTAATTGAACTTAGGTCTTAAAAATGTGAAAATATGTCTAGCATTCAGGATGATATGTGTTATGCTCCTAAATCATATAAACATAAAAGAGCAAGGGCAAGGTTTGGATAAGAGCCAGAAAGAAACACAGTGTGTTTAAGAGACAAAGCTGATAATCCATTTTGGGTCAGATAATGAATTCGTTTACATGTCAAGATGAGAAATTTGAATCTGAATCTTTATGTCAAGATTTTAAGCAGGGTGAAAAAACAAGGTTCAGATTTGTTACTTTAGAAATACAATATTAAAAGCATAGTTTTGGGGGATGAAGGGTCTACACTCCATGAAGAGGCTATTAAGTAAAGAGAACCATAATGAATGCAATGGCAGTGGGACTGCAGAAGAGGAGCAAAGAGATGACTAAATTATTTTGACACAGGCAAATGATGAAAGAGAAGGAAAAGAATATATTCCGTCCTGTAGTTTAAATCATAGCTATGATTAGATTACAGGAACATCTAATATGTAGCATGCCAGATGTCATTCACTTCAGTAGGGAGGGCACTATGTTTGAGAGCCTGAAGAAAAGACCCGAAGCCAGTGAACAAGACACAGGGTTTATTGAAGGGACTTACATATGGAGCAGTCCAGTGGTAGTGGGCTGGAGAGGAGAACTACAATCACTTGTAAAAAGCATGCAGTTTATATGCATTTCCACTTATCACCCTTCTGCTAACCTCCACTTGGCAGCCTTCATTCAACCCGAAACCAAGGGCCTCAATCTCCTGCATGGGCTGCATTCCACAGGATGGACTAGGGACTCAGATGTTCCTCATAGGTAAGGGATGAATCTCCAGGTTGGCCACTCCTGGATTCCTTAGCACAGATCAACAAATACACATTCTTCTTAAGCCATAGGGTCATTCTTAGGACATGCTTAAATTAACTTTTTGCTATGAAGTGTGTTTGCCATACAATATAATTTCCGTTTGTCCAATGAAGCATAGGAATTCAAATGCTCATCCAAGGGAAGAGGCAGTCATATCAGCAATGTAAACTTTTCTTCTTAAAATTTGGCTTGTAAGTAGATAGGCACTCTGAGACTACACTATATTTCAACTCTGATAAATGGAAATTGAAAAAAAATAAATTTTTATTTGTTGTGCTTTCATCTCTAAGAGTAGAATCTGCAATATGTCACTAAAACAAGCCTCCCTGCCTCTTTTAAATAAAGATGTAGAACTACAGAAAAATTGCAGTAGCAGTACAGAAAGTTCCTATAAAACTTAACCCCTCCTTTTCTTCTGTGGTGAATGCACTGTGAGGTGCTAGCGATTGGTTCAAGACAAATTCATTCACTGTTTTTGAGAAAGTCTGATCCGGGGATGGAATCCTAGTGCAGATGACTCAGGTCAGATGTTAAATGTTCTGTCAAACAATGTAAAGAATACAGTGTTGTTTTAAATAATCTTTGTGGCGATTACAGAACTCTCATGTTAAAGGGATTTTACTCCTTGGCTAGGCTGTAGTGGAGGATGTTTTGGTGATCTGACACAGAGACAATGAAGAAGTCACAGGTGGGCAGATCTCTTTGGGAACAAGAAGAGAGAGTCACAGGTGGGCAGATCTCTTTGGGAACAAGAAGAGGAGGCAGGGGAGCAAGAAGAGAGAGACTAATGGAGACCAGTCTGTGAAGGTGGATTCAGAATGGCTCTAGACCCACTGCTACCGGAGACCTATTTTAATCTATTCTTTTCTGGAGTATGTTTACCATAAAGCCGTAGTATCATTTGTTAGCTACAAAGGTTTGTTTCAACTTTGCTTGCAGAATCAAAAGAGAAGCCGAGTTCCTGTTTTGGGAAGAGGCAGTGTGGAGTGAGTGGCAGAGGCGAGAGGTAATTGGAGTTAGGGGCACTGGTGGGGAAGCCCAGAGCACCTACCTGCAGTGGGCAGTGGCGTCACCTGGGTGTACTGCAGAGCATTTACAGCCTCTCCAAGGTTGCTCATAAAGTTTTTTTTTTTGCGGGGGCAGCGGGGAGACCAGGTTTCCTATAACCATGTAGCTTAAGACTTTTATTTGTATATGAAATAGAGGGATAATTCTCCAAAATCTGAAGAATTCAGGAACATTCAAGATGCATGTCACTTCTAAGCTTACTACAAGAAATATATACAATAGTGAGAAAACTGTATTAAAACAGTCAGTAGTCATCTTCTACTTCAAGGTACATTTTTATTCGTAGTTGAAAAGAATAGTCTATTACTGCTAACTTATTGTAGATTTACTCAGAATCAAAGGGTCCAGAGAGACATAAAAAATGTATGTAGTTTCTATTAAATAACACTTTCTGATCACTTTCAAATATGAGTATAATATACAGGTATTATATGCACAAAAAATGTAAAAATTAATTGAGAAACCAAGTCTTGTTACCAGTAAGAAAAAAGACATTTATATTTTCACAAGCTACCAACATTGTATAGGATAGCTCCTGCTAGGCTTGACTTCTTCAATTAATTCATCTGGTAGCTCAAACATCTGTAGCAAAGAAGTTAATATACAGTGAAGTCACTACACAGTGTTATGGAACAGTAGAAATTCATATCAGTACAAAATATCATTCAAGATTTTTACATTAAATTCGTGTCAAGATTGAGAGATATCTTTTTTGGCAAGCAATCTAAGAATTATTTGAAGATTGAGAGATTTAAAAAAAATGATTTCTGCTGGTAAAAATGTTAAAGATTAAAAACGTGTAGTAGAAATAGACAAAAGGTAAATGTTCTTGTCTTTCTGTTCCTCTTACCAGCAACTCGTGCCTTTGAAATATAATAAAATGCTTTAGGTACTTCCAGTATTTTCCATAAGATGGCAGAGTCGGTATTGTGAACGTTGAGAGCACACTCAGGTTAGTTCTGTCAGTCACAGCAACAAAAAGAGGCTGAGAGTGATTCTCATCACTTAAACATTGCTATCGTGCTTTCAATAATAATAATCATCAACATAATAATAAAGCAATAATATCTAGTTTTTGAAAACAATAGCAAAAACCCCAAATATGTGTCAATCTGCAATTACACCACGTTACCCAGGGACTCCCTCGGAGCATCGCTTTTGGTCTTTTACTGAGTTTCCTTAGCTGCCTGTTCTGTTAAGTTTTATTTAAACACTAACTAGTCAAACTAGGTCCCATGTCACCACTCTCAGATCACCATGCATGTAACAAGAAGACATCTGTTGATTTCGCTGAAGCATGCAGTGGTCATAAATGTTTTTGATTGTTAGGAGCTGTAGACATGCTCTTTCAATGAAAATTTAGTGGTCTGTCAGATGCGCTTTGGTTTGTTTAAAATGGGTGACTCATGGACACGGAGGGGAGCATCACACTGAGGTCTGTCGGGGGGAACTAGGGGAGGGACTGCAGGGGTGGGGAGTTGGGGAGGGATAACATGGGGAGAAATGCCAGATATAAGTGATGGAGAGGAAGGCAGCAAACCACATTGCCATGTATGTACCTATGCAACAATCCCGCATGTTCTTCACATGTACCCCAAAACCTAAAACACACTAAAATATATTTTAAAAATAAATTTAAAAAATTAAATGGGAGACTGCTGTTCTGAAATCTGTTGGGCCCTGAGCAAGAGGTGGGGCTTGTTTTGTCCAGTTGCTCCTTCATCCAGAGCTATAACCACCAAATGAATGAGGCAGTCTAGCAGGACTTCAGTATCAGCACGAACAGGTGTTGGTTGCAGAGAGCAAACTCAAAGAAAGCAAATCATTGACTTTGTGAAATCTACACTAGGATTTCTCTCCTAAACTCCCTAAATTAAAAACGTGAATTCGATTTGTTTTTATCACTTCCCAAGCTTTTTGCACAAAACAGATGCTCCACTAAGTGTTTGTCAAATGCTTCGGGTGACAGGAGAGGGTTGCAAATGGGCTCTCCTTCATCCTGGGATTGCTAGGGCTCCAAATCTGGAAGAAAAGCACCGGCACCTCCCATCAGGACTGGCTTATGCAGAGCACTATTGGAAATTTTCTCAGGGCCTTGAGGGTTAATACACTTCTTCACCACTCGACTGGGAGCTCTCTGTAGGTAGAATCTGTTTTTTTTTCTTTGTATTTCTAGTGTCTGCACAGTGCCTCACATGCAGTAGGTATTCAGCAGTCAGCAGGGGTGTTTTCAAAGAAGGAAGCAGCAATCATAACTTGCCCCCCAGTGGATACTGGTAGATAGTGTGACGCTGTCTTACCTAGGGAGCTGGTTTACCAAATGCTGGTATGGTAACTACTTGGCAGTGAAACTTCCAGCTCCGTAGTATCTTGTGGGTGTTGTCAGTTTTACATACCAGAGAGCAAATCCGACTTACCCATTAAAGAAGAAACATGTCTCAGTTTGATATAGGCTCCACTATCAACAAAGAGGAGATTTCCTTTTACAGAATGCTGAGAGACCAAGAATGTGACGGGAAGCAAATTTGTTTTGAGTGTGGGCAAGATCTTGTGGAGGATGACTATTTCCCAAAGAGAAAGCATGCCACACCCATGCCTGCTATAAACATTTCTCTTTTCTGTGAAATATCCCTGGAATTTTGATAACTTTGGAACAACAACAACAAAAAAATCAGGGCATTTGGCTAGAAGAGAAAATTTGGCAACAGCTAGGTAAAGGAAAATTTATCAGAGGGGAGAATTCTAGAGAACTTCACGTCTGGGCCCACAATCTTGAAAATCTATTCATTTTTTTCCCCAGATACAACATCTCACTATACCGTGGCTCCTCTTCAGAACATGCATGGTGCATATCTGCAGAACTACTGATGCCTTGCCCTTTTAGCCATTTTGGAAGGAGAGGCATTTTGGAAGACTCTGTAAAATATAGTTTACACCAACCTAATTATTTAAGAAAACCATAATGAGTGCAGAGCTACTACACATCATTGTGAGGTTATGTAAGAAACAGCAATGCCACATTGAAAAGGCTCCCATGCAGAGAGAGATCCAAGATGGCTGATCACTAACAGCTCAGGATTGTAGCTCCCAGTGAAAGCTCAGAGAACGAGAGGATGCCACACTTTCAGACAAATTTTCATCGCTCACGGACCAGCAGATTTCTAGTGGAGGAGCCCCACGGGTCACCAGCGCAACTCTTGTGGCCGGTGCAGCGGTTTTGCCGGCACCTTGGCACAGCAGCTCTTCATGCAGAGTAAATGGGACTGGTTCCTTTACTGACCGGTGTTTGGAGCTCCAGGAAGGCAGAGTCACTTGTTGCGGACTGAAGAAGGAAGCCAGACCAGAAATTCCTGGGCAGAAGAGCACCATCAGTCTTATTGCTGCTATTTTGGCCATCACAGTGGGTTGCTTGAATCTCAGCACTGGGAATCAATAAATTGGACGTCGACTCAGAAACCTAATTAGAAAGGTGGTAATTGTAAAGACGACAGATGGATAAATTTATAATAAAGGGAAAAAACCAGCCTGAGAAGGCCAAGCATACCCAAAATCAGAACCCCTCTCCCTCTACAGGGATTGCAGTTCCTCATCAGCAACGGAACAAGTTCTGATGGAAAAGAACTGTGTTCCATTATCTGAAGTAGGCTTCAGAAGGTGGATGATAAGAAACTTCTGGGAATTAAAAGAACTTGTTCTAACCCAATGTAAAGAAACTAAGAACTTTGAAAAAAGGTTTGACGAAATGCTGAAAAGAATAGACAATATAGAGAGGAATATAAATGAACTAACAAAGTTGAAAAATACAACACAAGAACTTAGTGAAATATGCACAAGTTTAAATAGCAGAATGGATCAAGCAGAAGAAAGGATATCAGAGGTCGAAGACCAACTTAATGAAATAAAATGACAAGACAAGAAGAGAGAAAAAAGGATGAAAAGGAATGAGCAAAGTCACCAAGAAATATGGGACTATGTGAAAAGACCCAATCTACGTTTGATTGGTGTACCTGAATGCGATGGAGTGAATGAATCCAAGCTGGAAAATACTTTTCAGGATATTATCCAGGAAAATTTTCCCAATCTAGCAAAGCAGGACACTGTTCAACCCAGGTAATACAGAGAACACCACAAAGATATTCCTCAAGAAGAGCAACCCCAAGGCACATAATTGTTAGATTCACCAGGATCGAAATGAAGGAAAAAATACTAAGGGCAGCCAGAGAGAAAGGCCAGGTTATCCACAAAGGGAAGCCTATTAGACTTACAGCAGATCTCTCAGCGGAAACCCTACAAGCCAGAAGAGAGTGGGGGCCAATATTCAACATACTTAAAGAACAGAACTTTCAGCCTAGAATCTCATATCCTGCCAAACTAAGCTTCATAATTGAAGGAAAAATAAAATATTTTATGAACAAGCAAGTACTCAGAGATTTTATTACCACCAGGCCTGCTTTACAAGAACTTCTGAAAGAAGCATTATACATAGAAAGGAACAACCAGTATGAGCCTTTCTAAAAATATACCAAAAAGTAAAGAGCATCAACATAAAGAAGAATTTACATCAACGAATGGATAAAATAGCCAGTTAACATCAAATGGCAGTAACCCTAAATTTAAATCGACTAAATCCCCCAATCAAAAGATACAGCCAAAACCTAATGGTATATCCAAAGATACGCAAAGACTCAAAACAAAGGGTTGGAGAAAAATTTACCAACCAAATGGAGAGCAAAAATAAATAAATAAACAAAAAGCAGGAGTTGCAATTCTCACATTTGATAAAATAGATTTCAAAGCAACAAAGATACAGTGGTGAAAGGATCAATGCAACAATAAGAGATCTTAATACCCAGATACATAAGACCCATAACGAGATTTAGACTCAACGAGACAGAAAATTAATAAGGACATCCAGGACTTCAACTCAGATCTGGAACAAGTAAACTCAATAAATATTTATAGAGTTCTCCATTTTAAATACACAAAATCTTGATTGGCCATTACTAATACCCATTTTTAGAATGAAGCAATATTTCTGTTCTCTCTCCCTCTTTTTCTTCCTCTTTCTTCCTCTCCTTCTCTCCTTTTTTTACTTTTCAACATCTTATTTCCTCACCTCTACTCAATACATTCCTCTGAACACCTGATTCCTTGTGATTCTCCCATCCCACTGAAACCTCCAATCCATTAAAAAAAGAAAGCAAATTATTCTGACAGAGGTGATCGCTTCATCTGAGGGATGACATTTAACACTAAAATTTATCTTCATATAAAGTTCATGGGACATATTATATTTATTAGTCTCAACATGTACACCTCAGAGTCAGTCAATGGGATTGTTTGTGAATACTGCCAAGCACCTCTGTTCATGTGTAGTGAAATTTGTATTGTCCTGAAAATTCTTCAGTGTTTATAAATAGTCTAATCTGCAGTGTATAGACCAATTACCCAGTCACAAGAGGACCAAACTTGTTGTACAGTGTCCAAACTTTAGTGAATAAAAAAAAAAAAAATGAAAAGGCTCCCATTCAAATTGTAGACACTGAAGATCTGTATGATTATCAGAAAGTTTTCCAGCAGATCAAAGTAAGGTATCTTATTTAAATAAAAGTCAATAATTCATAATTTCAGGACAGATGAAGGGAAAGTATCTGGAGAAAAGGATATTTGTTCTTAATTCACACAAATGAATTTTTACATTGATAGTCTGAATTCATCATAATGCAAATGAAATGCTGTTTTGTAAAGCAATGCAGTGCTGCCTGGAGACTCTTACCCTAATTATCCCCATAAAACTATGGCTCAGAGTTTTACATGAGTTTTCTATCTCTATTCCTTTAGGTAGCAATAGTGTGTTTAATTATTGTCACTGTTTCTGCTTATTTTACATAATATCTACTATACCTTTCTCATTTTCTGCTTTTAATCTGTTATGTGCTTGAAAATTATTTCACTAAGGTAATTTGAATTGTGTATCAGTTAAGAGTAGATAGGATTTAAACGCAGAGTTGGAGAGCTTTCCTATAAAGAAAACTCAAGAGTTTTAGAGTGTGGATTTTATAAAATCTGTTTGGATAGAGATTTGTTTTATGGTTTTTAGTTCTGTTGTGGATACATGAGGTTGCCAGGCAGCAGAGTTCTTGTCATATATAGGAAGTCTCAGAAAAATATGAAAGATAAGCTCACCCGAGAAGACCATTTTTGTCTTTTTTTTTTTTTTTCCTGCAGTGGCAGAAATTCCTTAGTGTTTTCACATCACAAGTTCTCAGTGTGAGTTCTCACCCCTAAGTTCCTAACAGGGATGAGAAAGAGCTTTGTTAGTCTGTGTCAGGCATTTTGCTTTAGAAACGGAAATGGATATTAATTCATTTCACTTCAGAGTTCTCCTCAAGGAGGTAAAAGTATTTTGAAGTGTTAACATCCAAATTTTCTTTGAATTTTTCAGGATTAAAATGGAATATCTATGCCTTTAAAAGAAAATGAGACATATTCTTATTTTATCATGGGTGCTACTAATACTCTGGCTTTCTAATAACATCTGTCATCTAGCATCATAGCTTTGAAGGGACCATTTAATGAAAATTCCATTTTCTTAAAGGTTGTAATTATTATGTAGCACTATTTTTATAGATGTGGAAATAACAGGCTTAGGAATAATAGAATCAAGGAAGGTTGTAGATGGCCGTGAGTACTGAACAAAGGAAGAAAGAATAAAATAGGACCAGGAGTTATCTTCTTAACCCTACCCTGAAACCACTGCACAAACTTCCTTTTAGACAAATATTAACAGGACCAATGCAATTTAAGCTCTGAGACTTCAGACCAAAGACTTCGTGGGCCTAGGATCATAAAGAGAACTTTACAGAGGGCCAAGTAATTTTGACTTCTGGCTTCTGGGTAAACCTTAGATAATTTGAGTTCCATAATCAATGGCTTTTCTCTGTATTATTAAAAATTCTAAAACCAATCAACTGATTTTTAAAATCCATAACATTAAACAAGTGGCTTAAAATTATAAATATAATTAATGAGCTTTGCTTGTGATGTAGAAACAAATTAAGCATGCCATACAAATTGCCCAAAATTTCATTCTCTACAGGTATTTCACTTGGTGCTCCATACATTATGTTTTGCCTAAAAATATCATGCACAGGAAACATTTTTTCTAGTTTAGATACATGTCAAAAATAAAAAGCTACGTAATGAAGTAAATATTAAAAGATATTGGTAGAATAAATGGGTTAAATATTATGGTTTGTAATAACAAAACCCCTGGACAATGCAAAGAAAAGGCTGCACAACACAATGCAAGTTTTAATGAAGGAACCAGAAAGCTAATCACCATTTATATATGTCATACTCTTATTTGTGTTATTATTATATGAATTCAACAGGAATAATTGCAATGATTATGCTTGGTTTCACATTAGATAGATGGTTCTAGTATATTATTTAATAAAACTACATTGCATGACTGGTATTTGAGGTTAAAGATAGATTTGAGGAGGCAGAAGAAGAGAGCAATCCCCTTTAAAAAGATATGTCAAAGAAATGAAACTACGTGAGGAAGTCAAAAAGTGACATTAAGCACTGATTTGCAAAATCAGTTCTGTAGGAACAAATTTTTAGAAGAGACTGACATCCAGCAGTTAAAAGAAAGCTATTTTCATGTTTGATGAAAAATTATCAGGAGGCTTGTCTAGGGCATGTGGAATTACATTTAAACTAAGAGTAAAGAAAAAACATGGCAGCCAGGATTGAGCTCTTCTGTCTTTTGGGAAGCAAAGAACAGTGATCTGAAGTCTAGAATTTCTTCTTTGCCTGCAGAAGACAAAGGTAAAGATGAATATAAAGCAAATACAAGACTAAAGCAAGACAAAGACTCGCTGGAAGGTGACTTTCTGATGCTCAGACCCAAACAGAGGAAAGGCAAAGAGTGGGTAAGCCAATAGCAGGTGTCTTTCTGAAGCTCCCCTGCAGCCTTGACTAGCAGGGCCAGAACAAGCTCAGGAAAAAAGACGTCAAATTGTAGCCAACAACAAAGTCCTGGTTTAGTCAGGACTTGTTACAGCTGATGGCCACCAAGTGGAGAGGAAAGAGGACTAGACTGAGAACTTGCATGGAGCCCCAGTGGAACAGGACACAAAGCAAAAGCCACTGTAACTAGCAGCCTCAGTCTCCTTATCTGTAAATGGGGCAAATGGAATTGCTGAGGTCCCTTTCAATGCTAAAATTGTATTATATGGAGAAAATATCACATTGTATTAGACATCTTATTTCTTTCAACTTTCACTCCCCAAAATAATAATCTACCACTTATCACTTAAAGAAATGGGGCATATGGCACATTTTAGCAATGTGATTATTTAGAAAAGGGTACACTCAGCTGTTGAAGTTTGATTGTGGATATGTGTGTACATGAATAAGTCACCCAATCTTCTTTAAATCATCAGTGACAGCTGCCAGACTTGCCAACACTAGGTATTAGGAGAATATAACACTTTTCAGTGACTTCATGGAATATTGCTTAATAAGCAATACCTGGAAGATGTCTCTGTTTCTGTTTCTCTGTCTCTGTCTCTTTGTCTCTGTTTCTGTCTCTCCCTGTCTTTCACACACACACACACACACACACACACACACAAACACACACAGACCCAGCCTAGGAAGAATATACAATACAATATAATTACAGATTCTGGGGCAAGATGGCCAAATAGGAACAGCTCCCATCTGTAACTGCCAGCAAGACCAGTGCAGAAGGCAGGTGATTTCTGCATTTCCAGCTGAGGTACCTGGTTCATCTCACTGGGACTAGTTAGACAGTGGGTGCAGCCCACGAATGGCGAGTAGAAGCAGGGTGGGGTATCGCCTCACCCAGGAAGTGCAAGGGGTCAAGGAACTCCTTCCCCTAGCCAAGGGAAGCCATGAGGGATCATGCTGTGAGGGACAGTGCACTCCAGCCCAGATACTATGCTTTTCCCATGGTCTTCACAACCCAAAGACCAGGAGATTCCCTCAGCTGCTTATACCGCTGGAGCCCTGGGTTTCAAGCACAAAACTGGGCGGCTGTTTGGGCAGACACCGAGATAGCTGAAGGAGTTTCTTTTTGTATCCCAGTGGCACCTGGAACGCTAGCAAGACAGAGCTATTCACTCCCCTAGAAAGGGGGCTGAAACCAGGGAGCCAAGTGGTCTTGGTCAATAGATCCCAAACCCATGGAGCCCAGCAAGGTAAGATACACAGGCATGAAATTCTTTCTACCAGCACAGCAGTCTGAAGTCGACCTGGGATGCTTAAGCTTGGTGAGGGGAGGAGCATCCACCATTACTAAGGTAGCCAATTTTCCCCTCATATTGTAAACAAAGCCCATGTGACATTCCGTCTGGGCAGAGCCCACTGCAGTGCCACAAAGCTGCTGTAGTCAGACTGCCTCTCTAGATTCCTCCTCTCTGGGCAGGGCATCTCTGAAAGAAAGGCAGCAGCCCCAGTCAGGGGCTTACAGATAAAACTTCCATCCTTCTGGGACAGAGTGCCTGAGGGAAGGGGAGGCTGTGGGCGCAGCTTCAGCAGACTTAAATGTTCCTGCCTGCCACCTCTGAAGAGAGCAGCAGATCTCCCAGCACAGCACTCCAGCTCTGCTAAGGGACAGCTGCCTTCTCAAATAGGTCCCTGACCCCCACGCCACCTGTCAGAGAGACAACTCATACAGGAGAGCTCCAGCTGGCATTTGGTGGGTGCCTCCCTGGGATGAAGTTTTCAGAGGTAGAAGCAGGCAGGCAGCAAGTTTTGCTGTTCTGCAACCTCTGCTGGTGATACCCAGGCAAACAGGGTCTGGAGTGGACCCCTAGCAAACTCCAGCAGACCTGCAGAAGAGGGGCCTGACTGTTAGAAGGAAAACTAACAAACAGAAAGCAATAGCATCAACATCAACAAAAAGGATGACCATGCAAAAACTCCATCTGAAGGTCACCAACAGCAAGGACCAAGGGCAGATACATCCATGAAGAGGAGGAAAAAACAGTGCAATAAGGCTGAAAATTCCCCAAAACAGAATACCTCTTCTCTTCCAAAAAGGAAACAAAACTGGACAGAGAATGAGTTTGCTGAATTGACAGAAGTCGGCTTCAGAAGGTGGATAATAACAAACTCCTCCAAGCTAAAGGAGCATGTTCTAACCCAAGGTAAGCAAGCTAAGAACCTTGAAAAAAGGTTAGAGGAACTGCTAACTAGAATAAACAGTTTAGAGAAGAACATAAATAACCTGATGGAGCTGAAAAACACAGCATGAGAACTTCATGAAACATACAAATTATCAATAGCTGAATCAATCAAAGATTGAAAATCAACTTAATTAAATAAAGCATAAAGACAAGATTAGAGAAAAAAGAATGAAAAGTAATGAACAAAGCCTCCAAGAAATATGGGACTATGTGAAAAGACCAAACCTACATTTGACTGGTGTACCTGAAAATTACAGGGAGAATGAAACCAAGTTGGAAAACACACTTTAGGATATTATCCAGGAGAACTTCCCCAACCTAGCAAGGCAGGTCAGCATTCAAATTCAGGAAAAAAAAAGAGAACACCACAAAGATGCTTCTCAAGAATAGCAACACCACGACACACAATCATCAGATTCACCAAGTTTGAAATGAAGGAAAAAAATGTTAAGGACAGCCAGAGGGTTACCCACGAAGGGAAACCTATTGGACTAACAGCATATCTCTTTGCAGAAACCCTACAAGCCAGAAGAGATTGGGGGCCAATATTCAACATTCTCAAAGAAAAGAATTTTCAACCCAGAATTTCATATTCAGCTAAACTAAGCTTCATAAGTAAAGGAGAAATAAAACCCTTTACAGAAAAGCAAATGCTGAGGAATTTTGTCATCAGCAGGCCTGCCTTACAAGAGCTATTGAAGGAAACACTAAATATGGAGAGGAAAACCTGGTACCAGCCACTGCAAGAACAAATCAAAATGTAAAGACTTCGACACTGTGAAGAAACTGCATCAATCAATGGGCAAAAGAACCAGCTAGTATCATAATGAAAGGATCACATTCACACATAACAATACTAACTTTAACTGTAAATGGGCTAACTGTCCTAATTAAAAGGCACAGACTGGCAAATTGGATAAAAAGTCAAGACTCATTGTGTGCTGTATTCAGGAAACCCATCTCTTGTGCAAAGACACACATAGGCTCAACGTAAAGGGATGGAGGAATATTTGCCAAGTAAATGGGAAAGCAAAAAAAAAAAAAAAAAAAAAGCGGGGATTTGAATCCTAGTCTCTGATAAATTTTAAACCTACAAAGATAAAAAGAGACAAAGGGCATTATGTAATAGTAAAGGAATCAATGCAACAAGAAGAGCAAACTATCCTAAATATATATGCAACCAACACAGGAGGACCCAGATTCATAAAGCAAGTTCTTAGAGACCTAAAAAGAGACTTAGATTCCCACACAATAATAGTGGGAGACTTTAACACTCCACTGTCAATATTACACAGCTCAACACTACAGAAAACTAACAAGGATATCCAGGACTTGAACTTCAGCTCTGGACCAAGCAGATCTATTAGACATCTACAGAACTCTCCACCACAAACCAAGAGAATATACATTCTCCTCACCACCACTTAGCACTTATTCTAAAATCTACCCCATAATTGGAAGTAAAACACTCCTTAGCAAAGCCAAAAGAATGGAAACATAACAAATAGTCTCTCAGACCACAGTGCAATCAAATTAGAACTCAGGATTAAGAAACTCACTCAAAATTGCACAACTATATGGACACTGAACAACCTGCCTCTAAATGATTACTGGGTAAATAATGAAAATAAGGCAGAAATAACTAAGTTATTTGAAACCAATGAGAACAAAGACATAACCTATCAGAATCTCTGGGACAGAGTTAAGCAGTGTTTAGAGGGAAAATTATAGCACTAAATGCCCACAGGAGAAAGCGGGAAAGATCTAAAATGGACACCCTAAGATCAAAATTAAAAGAACTAGAGAAACAAGAGCAAACAAATTCAAAAGGCTAGTGGAAGACAAGAAATAACTAAGATCAGAGTAGAACTGAAGGAGATAGAGATAAGAAAAACATTTCAAAAAATTAATGAATCCAGGAGCTGGCTTTTTGAGAAGATTAACAAAATAGATAGATGGCTAGCTAGACCCATAAAAAAGAAAAGAGAGAAGAGTCAAATAGACATAGTAAAAAATAATGAAGGGGAGATCACCACTGATCCCACAGAAATCTAAACTACCATCAGAGAATACTATAAACAGCTCTATGCAAATAAACTAGAAAACCTAGTAGAAATGGATTTCCTCAACACATATACCCTCCCAAGACTAAATCAGGAAGAAGTCGAATTCCTGAAAAGACCAACAAAAAGTTCTGAAATTTAGGCAGAAATTAATACCCTACTACTACTAATAATTTAAAAAGCCCATTACCAGATGGACTCACAGCCAAATTCTACCATAGGTACAGGGAGGAGCTGGTACTATTTCTTCTAAAATGATTCCAAACAATAGGAAAAGAGAGACTGCTCCCTGTCTCATTTTATGAGGCCAGCGTCATCCTGATACCAAAATTTGGCAAAGATATAACAAAAAAAGAAAATTTTAGGCCAATATCTCTGATGAACATTGATGCAAAAATCTTCAATAAAATACTGGCAAACTGAATCCAGCAGCACATTAAAAAGCTTATCCACCACGACCAAGTTGGTTTCATCCCTGGGATGCAAGGCTGGTTCAATATATACAAATCAGGAAACGTAATCCATCACAGAACCAATGACAAAAACCACATGCTTATCTCAATAGATACAGAAAAGGCCTTCAATAAAATTTAACACCCTTTTAGGCTAAAAAACACTCAATAAACTATGTGTTGATGGAACATATCTCAAAATAATAAGAGCTGTTTGTGACAAAACCACAGCTTCATACTAACTGGGCAAAAGCTGGAAGCATTCCCTTTGAAAAGTGGCACAAGACAAAGATACCCTCTCTCACCACTCCTATTCAACATAGTATTGGAAGTACTGGCCACGGCAATCAGGCAAGAGAAAGAAAGAAAGCATATTCAAATAGGAAGAGAGAAAGTCAAATTATCTGTGTTTGTAGATGACATGATTATATATATTTAGGAAACCCCATCATCTCAGTCCAAAAACTCCGTAAGCTGATAAGCAACTTCAGCAAAGCCTCAGGATACAAAATCAATGTACGAAATCACAAACATTTTTATACACAATAATAGACAAGCAGAGAGCCAAATCATGAGCAAACTCCCATTCACAATTGCTACAAAGAGAATAAAATACATACAAGAAATGTGTATGTATTTTATTCACATTTCTTGTAAATAAAAACTTACAAGAAATGTGAAGGACCTGTTCAAGGAGAACTACAAACCACTGCTCAAAAAAATAAGTGGGGACAGAAATAAATGGAAAAACATTCCATGCTCATGGATAGGAAGAATAACATCTTGAAAATGGCCATACTGCCCAAAGTAATTTATAGATTCAATGCCATCCCCATCAAGCTACCATTGAATTTCTTCACAGAATTGGAAAAAAACTACTTTAAATTTCATATGGAATGGACAAAGAGCCTGTATGCCAAGACAATCCTAAGCAAAAAGAACAAAGCTGGAGGCATCATGCTATCTGACTTCAAACTATAATACAAGGCTACTGTAACCAAAACAGCATGGTACTTGTACCAAAACAGTTATATAGACCAATGGAACAAAACAGAGGCCTCAGAAATAATGTCACACAACTACAACCATTCTGATCTTTGACAAACCTGACAAAAACAAGCAATGGGAAAAGGATTCCCTATTTAATAAATGGTGTTGTCAAAACTGGCTAGCCGTGTGCAGAAAACTGAAATGGGACCCCTTTCTTACACCTTATACAAAAATTAACTCAAAGTGGATTAAAGACTTAAATGTAAGATTTAAAACTATAAAAACCCTAGAAAACAACTTAGGCAGTACCATTCAGGACATAGGCATGGACAAAGACTTTATGACTAAAACACCAAAAGTAATGGCAACAAAAGTCAAAATTGACAAATGGGATTTAATTAAACTAAAAAGCTTCTGTAAAGCAAAAATAAAATAAAATAAAATAAACACACACACACACACACACACACACACACACACCGAAAAACAAAAACCAAAACAACAAAACAAAACAAACCCCTCCCCCCCGCCAAAAAAAACTATCATCACAGTGAACAGGCTACCTGCAGAATGGGAGAAAATTTTTTTGCAATGTATTCACCTAACAAAGGGCTAATATCCAGAATCTACAAAGAACCTAAATAAATTTAGAAGAAAAAAACAACCCCATTGAAAAGTGGGCAAAGGATATGAACAGTCACTTCTAAAAAGAAGACATTTATGTGGGCAACAAACATATGAAAAAAAACTCATCATGATTGGTCATTAGAGAAATGCAAATCAAAACCACAATGAGATACTGTCTCATGCCAGTTAGAATGGTGATCATTACAAAGTTAGGAAAGAGCAGATACTGGAGAAGATGTGGAGAAATAGAGACACTTTTACACTGTTGGTGGGAGTGTAAATTAGTTCAACCATTGTGGAAGACAGTGTAGTGATTCCTCAAGGATCTAGAACTAGAAATACCATTTGACCCAGCAATCCCATTACTGGGTATATACCCAAAGGATTATAAATCATTCTACTATAAAAACATAGACACTCATATGTTTATTGCAGCACTATTCACAATAGTAAAGACTTGGAGCCAGCTCAAATGCCCATCAGTGTTAGACTGGGCAAAGAAAATGTGGCACATATACACTATAGAATACTAAGCAGCCATGAAAAAGGATGCGTTCGTGTCCTTTGCAGGGATATAGATGAAGGGATATGGGATATGGATATGGAAGCCATAATTCTCAGCAAAGTAATACAGCAACAGAAAACCAAACACTGCATGTTCTCACTCATAAGTGGGAGTTGGACAACGAGAATATATCATCACAGGGAGGGGAACATCACACATGGGCCTGTCAGGGGATGGGGGGATAATATTAGAGACATACCTAATGTAGATAACGAGTTGACGAGTGCAGCAAACCACCGTGGCACAACTATTTCTGTGTAACAAACCAGTACATTCTGCACATATATCCCAGAACTTTAAGTACATATATCTAAAAAAAGAACGTAAATAAGTCATGGAGATTGATGTCTAATACTCAAGATCTGCAAAGGAATTTTGGGGTGGATTTATTCACCACTGTCTCATGTGTATAATCTGCCTTCACAAATATAAACTGGGAAGCATGTAAGTTGACAATGAACTTGATATTGACAGAGAGACAAGAAAATCTTGGGAGGTTTAATTATTGACATTAGTTTCATTTTTCTTTTTTTTTTTTTTTGAGATGGAGTTTCGCTCTTGTTGCCCAGGCTGGAGTGCAATGGCACGATCTCGGCTCACCGCAAACTCCACCTCCTGGGTTCAGGCAATTCTCCTGCCTCAGCCTCCTGAGTAGCTGGGATTACAGGCACGCGCCACCATGCCCAGCTAATTTTTTGTATTTTTAGTAGAGACGGGGTTTCACCATGTTGACCAGGATGGTCTCGATCTGTTGACCTCGTGATCCACCCGCCTCGGCCTCCCAAAGTGCTGGGATTACAGGCTTGAGCCACCGCGCCCGGCCTAGTTTCATTTTTCTATTTGAAAAAATAGAAAGATAAAAGATTAGCATTTGGTTTATCTGCACACTTAATCTGGTAGTTAAAAATAAAAATAAAAAGTCCTATTTTGCTCCCCCAAATATATATATATATACAAAAAATTTTATGAATTCCCTCAATTGTATTTTTTTGGACAATTTAAATACTCATTCCACTGTAGCCAATATTATATCTTGAAGAAAAATAGGTGAAGGGAAAAACAGATCCAGCTTTTACTGAGAGAAAAGAAAAGATCATATACTTCTTATTTATCACCCCTACCCTTCACTTCCTAAGCACTATCTATTATGTACTTGTTAAGCCGGATAGCAAGAAAATAATAATAATACTAATCAATCAGGAAGAGAAGGCCCTACCAAAATAAAATAGCTAAGTGTTATGACCATAGAAGCATTAATTTATTGTGGCAGGACAATGAGGACCAAGCAAAACATTAGATTGGCTCTAAATTTTAAATTCCATTTTAGAGAAGAAAAGCCAAACCACTCTGCAAAATTATGGAAAATACAGAAGGATTTAGTGCCATAGATTTATTTTCATTTCTTTCTAACAACAAAGACAAGATAAGGAAACAAGATGAGGCAGAAATTCTCATTTCACAGACCTGATGATTAAATTTCTCACAGAACAGAAGAATATATATACATTTTTCTAGAATGTATTATAATTAAAGTAGTATAAATGAAAACACTGTTCCAAGAAATGATGTCAATTAGTTTGAACTGTGTGACTGAAACTGCTAAGTATTAGTTTATTTTCCTTTTGTTACTAATAAATGAAGCCTCCTCTCCTCCTTTTTTTTTTTTTTGACAAAATCTGGCTCCATCTCCCAGGCTGGAGTGCAGTGACATGATCTCTGCTCATGGCAACCTCCATCTCCCAGGCTCAAACAATCCTCCCACTTCAGCTTCCCAGATAGCTGGGATTACAGACACACACCATCACACTTAGCTAATTTTTGTATTTTTTCTCTATATGGGGTTTTACCATGTTTCTCAGGCTGATCTTGAACTCGTGAGCTCAAGTGATCTGCACACCCTTGCCTTCCAAATTGCTGGAATTACAGGAATAAGCCACTATGCCCGGCAAAGCTCCTAATTTTTAGTTAAGTATAAAGTGATTAAGAATAGAGACTGTGATACCCAGCTTCCTTTGCCTCAAATTTTGGGACGGACCAAGTTTTGGCTAATGAGAGGTAAGCAGAAGTAGTATGTGTACTTCTGAGTCATATCCTTAATGGAAAGAAGCACTCTTTTTTGTTCCTTTTCCATCTCCAAGGCCAGAATACAAAAGCAATGGCTGGAGCTTCAGCAGCCATTTTGAGTTGTGTTATGGTCTTGAAAATGGCGGCCACAGAGGATGAAGCAACAAGAGAGGAGTCTTAGTCCTTGTCTCTAGGGAAATCACATCCACCTCTTCGCCAACTATCTCCAGAATTTTGAAATAAAAAGAGAAATACACCTCTATCTTATTTAATCCATTGTCATTTTTCTTTTTCTGTCACTTGTAGATGAGTCTAATTCTAACTAATGTAGACTATCAAAGGTGTCTGTCAAAGCCAATTCTATGAGGACTGGAGAGATCATTGGTTTCGTCAAACTGTTTCTTACTAGGTCCGAAGAGGAAGGGAAAAACGTGCCTTACCTGGAAAATATTCAATGTTTGTAGTCAATCAAAGAAATTAGAACAAAACTCTGAATTAAGAATTGACACCGTTCAAATCCCAGTTAGGTGACTTTCAACTTTGGAATCTTTCTTCCTGTCTCCCTATGCATTCCTTTGCTTTCTTTTTCTCTTCCTCACCTTCTCTCCATTCCCCTCTCTCTTTCTTTCTACCTTCTATTTGTTTCTTCTTTTTACTCAGCTCTCAAGCTCCAGCTAAAGCATATTTTGGATTCTTCAAATATTTCAGTTTAAAAAAATGTTTAGTATTTCACATTGATTCTTACCCTTTATATGAATGAATGTTCAAAGAAGATGATTCATTTTTTGCCTGCCACCAAATTTTTCTACAAATATCAATATTTAAAAAGCTATATCCACATTCAATAATTGGCATTTTTCTTTTTAGTCTTCAACAAGAAACTAAACTTTTTTCAGATGAAAAAGATGTTACCTACAACTTTTGAATTTTTTGATAATTCCATTTTTTGAGAATTATTTATTGATAAATACATTTTTCTAATAATTAAAATATATGTTCTTCTTTTCTCTTTCTCTCTTTTCTTTTAGAGACAGGCTCTTGCTCTCTTGCCCAGGTTGGAGTGCAGTAGTGCAATCACTGGAGCCTCTAATTCCTGGGCTCAAGTAATCTTCTTCCCTTCTTCCCTCAACCCTCCAAGTGGCTGGGACAATAGGTACATGCCACCACACTTGGCTAATTTAAAGGTTTTTTTTTTTTTTTTTTTTGTAGAGATAGAGTGTAGAGATACATATCTTGAACCCCTGGTCTCAAGTGATCCTCTCACCTCAACTTTCCAAAGCTTTGGGATTACAGGCATGAGCCACCGTGTCTGGTCATCTGTTCCCTTTCTGGTCACTATGCAGCATAGTGAACAGTTAGAAAAGGAACAGATGGCCAGACATGGTGTCAGTTCACTTTTGGGCACAGTAGCCTTGAGTTGTGGGCCTATTTATCACAAATATTTCAGCATGGTTCTTAGAAACTTCAGCAGACCTTCTATCAAACAAAGGTTATGAATAAATTTTAAATTAGAAGGAAACAAAAACCCAGACATTCAAGGTGTTACAGTTTTAAACAATCAATTATTTACATTTTTCTACTTAATTCAGCTATACCTTGAAAGAAAGTATCTTAGGCAAAAATGTCAAGTTAGAACATTTGCATTCTAATCAACTATAAAATTTATCCAATTTACATATTGAAGCAACTCAGAAAAAATAAGTTAGTATTTGCTTTAAAAAAATTAGCCAGGATAGTCCATATCTGGGGACACCATTTATTTTTAAATTAGGGGTGCAATGAAGATCTGTTCATTCTTGGCAAGATTCCTTTTAATTTGCTAAGACTGAAAAGAGAAATTTTGGTTTTTGCTTCTCAATTTAGCAGAGAGTCATGATGGTTTTCATCAGATTTGCAATGTATATTTTAGCTGGTTTTAATGAAGACAAATTATTCCCAAGCAGGAGTGTCCTATTCATTAAGTGAGACAGATGGCAGCCTTGCCGTATTTTGTTAGAGCCAGCCTCTTGAAGCTGGTTGCCTCCCTTATTCAGATCTATAGCAATAGTATGATTTATTTTTCTGAAGGAAAAATCAAAGAAGTCAGTATTTTGCTAGGACAAAGTGTCAAGTTGTCTTCAAACAAATGAGCCAACCACCTCCCAGATTTGAAGCGGTAAGAACGTGTATTTTCATTTGAGGGACACAGACCCTCACACTATGTGGCAGGTGGAAGGCCAAGATACTTGGGGACATAAACATTTAGAGATTTTCCCAAGAGATGTTTGAGATTTCTCTGATGTGTGCTGTTCCACACCCCAAGACATTTTGTGTCCTTTGGTAATTTTCTAACCCTCCCTCTAACTCCCTTACTTAGATATTGCTGGCTTTGAAACATGACCAGAAGCTCAAATAAAGAAAAGCGAAGCTGGAAATCATCCCAGCTTCCTGCAGTGCTGCAAAAGGTCAGCAGAAGACACTTGAGAAAGTGCATCATTCACACAAGATAGAAGGCACGGCCTGCAGAAGGGTTGGCCAAAGTTTACAAGACTCAGTGCTAAGGTGGCTCCAAGAGGAAAAACACTGGCTTTAAATGTCCACCTCTCCATTTCAGTCAGCACTAGATGCTAAAGAGCAGTGGATGTCCTATCTTCAGTTTTGCCAGGGCCACTTCTGAGGAGAGCTCTTGAATCTAGAGCTGCATCATCTCTTAAGATAGTGAGGATTCTGGCCAATGAGTACAGGCTAAGGGATGCATTCATTTTCCCTTACTCTGACCAGACACACAATTGCATATGGAGAAGCTGAGGTTTTGCAAGAACATACGGTGCATGTAGTGACCATGCCTTTGCTGAAAACCCTGCTGGATATGCACAATGCAGAGTACATTCTCTAAGACTGGAGGCAAAAGCAAGAACTGCAAGCATTCACTTCCATGGAATAGTAACTGGGACAGTACTGCATCGGAATTACCCAGATTAACCGGTAACAGCTGAGTATTACCGTACAACTCTGCACTTCTTTTTTTCCTTTTGTCTTACAGAAGCATATCCCCCAAAGAGCAGCCCAGAAGATGAGAGGCAGGGAGAAGAAAAGAGAGAAGCGGAGGTGGGAGATCAATCTAACTTGTTTCTGATGAGTGGCAAATTTTCCAAAACACTAGGACGATCTTGATGGATTGCTGTGGTTGGGGACTGAAAGAGTTATAACTTCATATTTAAGTAAAGAAAGATGAAAAATGAAAACACGTATACCATATTAAATAGTTGCCTATTTGAATATTCATAGACAGATCCCTAATGTAAGGATTTTCTCCTCAAAGCTGTTATCTGCACTTAGACAAAGTTCAGGACCCTGCAATGCCTACTAGAAGTATGTACAAATTCATCTAAAGACAAAATAGCAACAAAGTTTAGTACGGTACTGTTTTGTGAAATGTTAACCACGTTTTTTTGTGTGTGTATGTGCGGGGGTAATTAAGTGACAGCTTAAAAGATTTCAATACTCATTTTATCCTTCTGTTTTACTGATTCTCTACAGTTTTGACATTTCATCAGCTTTTTCAATAGTCATTACAATACTAACAATAATTATTAGCATTATGAAATTTGAATAAAACAGTTATTTTTAAATTAAAGCACTTTTCAGTTTATTTCAAATTATTTAAATTTGGGCAACATTTTTCCCAGCTGCTTTTTAGGAAATGGAAGAGTGAGTTGTTTCTGTGGGCTCTTCATAGTGCTTGAGTGGAAAGTGCAGACAGGGTACAGAGGAGCGATTTGACTTTATTAATAATAATCGCCTCCTTTGACTGTGGAGTGCTTCACCATGTACTGAGAATTTTTTTTTACCTTTTCTGTTAAATTCTCACCCCACCTTTGGGAGATAGGGATCATAGTCCCACTTCATAGATGAGGAAAACTCCAGTGCGGAGATGTCAAACACTGTCCAAGAACACAGTGATGGATGGGACCCAAACCGCAACGTTTGCCTCATGTTCTCTGTCCGTTGTCATGGCTTTTGCTCCTGTGTAAAGATATAGGCTCTGGACAAGTTCACCAAATCCCCTGGGCTTCAGCCCCCTCATCTGCAGAATGGTGGCTTGGATTCTACCATCTTCAAGGTCCCTGCCAGCTTTTCTTTATTTTGAATTTGGATTTATTAAGTGGAATGAGTGACAGGAGTTTGTGGGTACTAACAGATTAAAGGGATATAATCTGGAGGCTAAGGAATAAATTAGGTCTCCAAATGGCTCATTGTGGTTGTCATGAGCTTGGAGGAATGAAGGCAAACTTTGCCATGTTAAGCTCTGATTTTTAAAAAAAAAGTCTCATGAAATCTACAGGCTCCAAAAGAAGAACAAGAAAAAAAAGGACTTTTACACACATAGAAACATTTGTAACAGTTTTAGGTGGCTTATAGACTGACTTCTTACTGATGCGTGGACTGAGTTAATAACCACGTGTGCACAACTTTCTGGCCCATAGGGAGCTTCACTGCGGTTGTTACACAGTGAGCAAAACATCTTCTTTTAAAAAATAGTGATTGAGAAGTTTAAGCAAAAGCGATGTGAAAAGAGTATATATTTTATATTGAGAACAGACAATATTATCAGTGATGATGAAAATCAGCACAGTGGTTGTCTATGAGAATGTAGGCATTTCCTGAAAGAGGGCATAAGGGAATTTTCTAAACTGACGGAAATGTTCTGCATTTTCATTGAGGCTTTGGTTACACGAGTGTGTAATCAAAGCTAATCAAATTGTACCATCAGTATTTGTGCATTTTACCATATATATATATTTTATGCCAATTTAAAAAACACAACTGTAATGCATTTTCAAGACAGTCCTTACTCTATCATTTTCTTGGTTATTGGGCTGGGGTAGGAGAAAGAAAGGCTAATGTTGCTCAAACATAAATGTCTCCTTTAGAAGTATTGATAGAGCATGCCGCAGCATTTTAATGCTTGTTTTGAATATCCCAAGAGCAAAGTTCTTGACTGGAGGTCTATGGTTGTGATTTCTGTTCCACAAGCCCATGAGCTGTATGTTTAGGTCTGACACCAGTGTCAGGAATGGAATAATGAGTAGAAAATATGGACCTCAGATATAACTATATTCCCTCCAAAGGAGAAAGGGGTTCTATTAATCATTCTGCTTTTCCATGTGCCCACGATATGTATGTATATGTATGTGTGTGTATATATATATATTGTTTTTCAGAATACAGGAAGAATGAGATATGCACAAATCTGAAAATTTAGATTGCTGTAATATTGTTCTGGGTTTTAAGAAGTCAAGAACAAAGGAGGACTTCATGTTTTGGTGTGTGGTGTTAAAAAAATGACCAATATTCGATCTGAAAGCTGGATCCATTACTTGTACCCGTTTATCTGTTGTTACAGGGTCTACCTTGGTGGCTGATAACCACAGGTAATGTCTGTTAAAACAAGTTCATCAGGCTTAGAATAACTTCAACAGTCAGAAGTGCTGACTTCACATCTCCATGACACGCACTGAGATTTCTCTTAGAATTGACTGTAGAAAGAACTTTTTCAGAGATTTGCTTTTTCATTTTGCATGCCTCACATTAAATATTGTTAAAAATTTAAAACCAAATTGTTTTTTTCTCTTCTTTCTTTTTCTTTTTTTTTTGTGATTTACAAGTGTTTATATAAGAAAAAAATGACTAAAAAAATACCCACCCAAGTACCTAAAACTCATCTAGAGAACAATGCTAATAATACAAAGGCTATGACCGAAGAACTCCATGATTTGTGGGAAAGCTGGGAAGCACAGTCCAGCCGGTGGAAGGAACGTGAGGCGGGTCGGATCCACCGAGGCTCGCAGTCAGTCAGTGGTGCTTTGCTCCCTAAGTCAAGTTCAGCAGCCGCATTTCTGGTTCAATGTCATTACTTATTTCGACCTAAAACAGAAAATATGAATTGCTTTCAAGAACTTGAAAGTTGACAACGAAATAACTTTTATATTCATCCAGGCCTTTTGAAATGCAAAATAGCTCCTGGGTGCACCTGGTGCTGTCTGACTGTAATAATAAGAAGGTTAGAGACTGGGGCCCTCCCGCTTTTCAAATTAGGGTGTGGTAATTGGGCATCGTCATCAGAGTGCAGAATGATGTTCTGAGAGAAGGGCCAACCACACAGCAATTGTGGTGTGGTGTGGCATTGTCGTCATTGCTTTCTTTAAGGGTAAAGATATCGGGGGAGTGTTGTGTCCCCAAACTACTAGATATTTGCATAGCCTGTTCTTTCTACAGCAGGCGGTGACGTGCTCAGGATCATCCTACTCTTGTCCCTTACACACATCCCACCCTGCGACCACTACTTTTATGTGTCAGCTTGGCCAGGCCATGGTGTTCAGATGTTTGTAAAACTTCAGTTTAACTCTAACTGTAAAGGTGGTTTTTTTCAAATTACTTTTTTTTTAAAAAAAGAGATTAACATGTAAATCAGTAGACTTTGAGTAAAGCAGATTGCCCTCCAAAATGTGGGTGGGCCTCATGCAATCAGTGTAAGGCCTTAAGAGAAAAGACTGAGGTCTCCTGAGGAAGATGAATTTCTGCCTCCATACTGTCTTTGGACTTGAGCTGCATCTCTCCTCTGGGTCTCCAGTCTGCCAGCCCCCAGATGCACACACGTGCGGGGACAAACACACACACAAACATACACACACACACACACACACAAACACTCTCTTTCTCTCTGTCTACTGGTTCTGTTTCTCCAGAGAACCCTGACTTATACACATTCCTGTCTCCAATCACTGTTGTCTCCACACTTTCGAAAACGACTCTGCTTATTCTAGCCTAGGCAGTAAGCCTTTGGAATGTGAGGGTATCAGCTTCTGCATCTTTGCACATTATCAACCTCAGCACAGTAGCTACTACATAGTTGGCACTTTATAAACACCTGTAAACACTTGCTCTCACTGTTTCTCTCCTATGAAAAATCTTAGCTAATCCAAACCTTACTCACCTTTGAAGGTTTGGCTGAAATTTCTTCTCTATGAAGAAGGCTTCCACTTCTTCCTCAGCCATTTTGCTTTCTCATCCTGCTAAGAGCAACTCTCAGGCTATCAGCTTTTCCCCATGTGCAGCTAGTGGCATCCAGGCTTCACAATTAATTACTTCACCCAGGCATGCAGTTTTCTCCCTTCAACTAAATTATAAGCATCATCCCAACAGATTGTGTTTCACAGTCATTGCATAACCCCACCTAGCAACTTCTTTTTTTCTACCTCGGTTTGATGACTTTATGGCTTGGAGTCAACTCTTCAGTTATAATTGCTCTTGCTTTCATAACAAGAGAATGGCTGAAAAATTTCCCCATTTTCTAGTTTTACTCTTTGGTTGCCACGCTTCTCGCTGTAGAGCAGGAAGAAAATGACTAAAAAAATACCCACCCAAGCACCTAGAACTCATCTAGAGAACAATGCCCTCCTGCACACCTCAGGAATGGGAGTCCTCCAGTCCTCTCTCTGTCCCCCATCACATTTCCTCTGCTCATCTATTTCTCTACAGTCTTAAGGATGGCCTCAATGTCTACCTTTTCTACATCTTGGCATTTTAACAGGGATTTAAACTGAAAGAGAAAGGGATGGGATTATAACTGTGGAATTTTATAGTTTTATGCCATCTTTGCATTAGAAGGAATTTTCAAGGTTCATTTATCCATCCAACACATGAATCCCATCGAGAGTGAGGATAAGGCAACAGGCAAAGGTGTTTTTCTTCATTAGCAGTAGTGTCAGTGAGGGTTTGGGGGAACTTCTAGGTATGTACTACATTTACCTTTAACACCAGCTCTGCCTCTAGCTAATATTTTCTGCTTCTGGGCTTTAGCAACATGGATCAGTGAGGTAGTAAAACAGGCTGAGCCTGTTCCTATGATGTCAGGTAGGAATTCTGGAATTGTTCCTTCAGGAGCTGGGGAACATGTCTGTGAGCTTTTGCAGAAGACAGTGAGGCAACTCCAAAAGCAGGCATCGAAAGGAAAACCTATTGGCAACCCTGCATTACATTTTATTAACAGATTGACTTAAAAAAATTAAACAGACACAAAAGTAGTCAGAATAGTAGTATGAATCTCTATGCATTCATTGCTCAGATTCAACTAAAGTGAAAGTTATGCTATTAGAGTGTCACCTATCGACCAGCACACCCCCGCCTTTTGGACGGGAGTATATAAAATCAAATTTCAGCTATATGTCCCTTCATTCATATGTCTATGCATTCTCCAACTCAGTGATTCTTAACCAGTCAATACTTGCCAGTATCTGGAGACAGTAACGGTTGTCACAGTTTGGCAGAGAATGGTGTTATTGGCATCTATAGTAGGTACATGCCAAGATGCAGTTACATATCCCACAGTGGCATAGACCCACTGCAAAGAATTACCTTGTCCAAAGTCAAAAGTGCAGAGGTTGGAAGAACCTGCTCAACTGGTAAGAATTTCTTTTCTTCTTTTTACCTATTCATGAGCATACCTATCAAAATTGACAATAATTTCGTAATATCATTTAACACCCAGCTCATAATCACATTCTCCAATCATCTAGAAATACCTCATCACAGTTGGTTTGTTGAAATTATACCTTATATGTATTGCAGCATCACTGTGAAGTGCCTATATTTATAATTTTCACTAGTTACAAGGTAAATATAAAACTGATTCATTAAAAAATCTTTCATACGAATTCAAAAGACAGAATTTTGTGAAATGCAGTTTTACCTAAGTGCCTTTTTTCTTTCTATTTCTACCCCCAGTCTATTATTTTATAAATCAGTTGATACATAAGTGGTTTACTGGGGGATTATATATTCCCTACACATTTTCTATGCAGTAAACATGCATATGTATGTGGGTGGGTGTGTATCCAACTACGTCATTGGAGTGATTCCTGTGGTTTGGAACTGCCTGGCCAAGTTTATGTAAAAATCCACATTTTTGAATAAACTCCCTATGACTAGAGTAAGTTTCCCCAGTATTTGGGAATTCCTCATTTCCTAAAGCTGTACAAACATCAGATATCAGTATTTGTAAGCACTGATAACATAATTTATGATGAAATTTCTTTCTTAGCTATTAATGTTAACCACATCGTATTCATATAGCCTTATAACTCATTTGTGTTATTCCATTTTCCTCTGTTCCTTTTATTTTCACTTTCCTTGTAATGTTACTCTCTTTATACTGATTTCTGAAGAGTTCATTTATGATAAAAGATGTTAACAGTTTGTCAGGAATTGCAAATATGTTTTTTGTTATTCATTTTACTGTGATGTTTTATCTTTGGGTTATACAGAAGTTGTGTATTGAAATATAATGTAGCTCTGTTTTAAAAAAAAATTTAAACCAAGCAAACCATATATACATGATGTGTTTGACTACTGTGTCTCTTCTTATCAATAAGAGTTTCCCTTTCTTTCTTCTTTTTTTTCTTTATTTCCCCTATACTATTTCCCACATGCTAGATTTGGCTGATATTCTGCTATTCTTGTATTTTGTAAAATATCAGCCCAAGGTCAGGCTTGACTTTATGGCGAGCCACTTTATAGGTGGTGCTGTGCACCACTTATTGTAGCACATCTGAGGACACATAATGTCTGGTTGTTCCACGGTTTTTTTTTTTTTGGGACAGAGTCTCACCCTATCGTCCAGGCTGGAGTGCAGTAGGACAATCTCTGTTCACTGCAACCTCTGCCTTCGGGTTCAAGTGATTTTCCTGCCTCAGCCTCCTGAGTTGCTGAGGACTACAGGCATGCACCGTCACACCTGGCTAATTTTTTTAGTGTTTGGTGAAGTCAGGTCTTCATCATGTTGCCAGTCTCGAATTGAACTCTGGATCCCAAGTGATCTTGGCCTCTCAGAATGCTGGGGTTACAGGCATGAGCCACCACACCCTGCCTGGTCATCCCACTTTCAATGATTGATCAATAGGTCTGCACAGAATACTTTGACATGAGATCCTTGAGATCATCTCTCTCTCTTTTTTTCTTTCTCTCTCTCTTTTTGCAGATGTTTGTAGATATGTTTGAAGTTACTTAAGGGTAACTGTCTTTAAGCCAGAATAGAATCAAGTGTTTCTTCTGATAGAACTGTAAATGTTTCTTTTTCTATTGCTTTTCTAATCACTTCTGTGTGTATGTGTGTGCGCTTTTTTCCCCGTGTATTGTGGAATCTTTCTTGTATATTTTTTCCCCAGAATTTATCATAATATGGAGATTATGTTTTTTGTGTCAATATGAAGTGCAAAATATGTTTATTTAACATAAAATTTGGTTTATATCATTGCCTTTAATTTTAAGTCAGAGGACAGTTTCTCTTGGAAACAGGACAAAATGACATGATTTTTATTTATGTTCTTGTTGATTTTTCTCGGGGGTTGGTGGTGGACTATGTGTCCACAGCACTGATCAATCAATTCTCTTGCCATTGGCATCAATGGCAAATACCCAGAAAAGTTCTGAGAAAGTCAGGAATTGATATTCTTCCTGGAGGACACTATTCAGATATGGGCTTTCTAATTTAGGAAAAAGGCTTTATGTGCTTCACAAGGGAGCATGAGAATTAGGCTCCACAACTTTTAGGGGCACAGCATGAAGTCACATGTCAAAGGAAACGATCTCTGTGTACCCAGTGAGAATAGGGCGGATGACTGGCCACTGACTGGCCACCAGTCACAGCAAACCCTCTTGCATGTTGCCATTTGCACTCTTGGTGGCATCATTCCTTCCTAAGACAAAGAGGCACCAACTGGATACTACAGTGATAAGTCTGAACTGCATAAGCCATATAAACACAGCCATTTCACTGCTACACGGCCAAATAACTACACATCAGGATGTGTACTTACAGTGGTCCCTGACATGGTATGCCATTGTTATGATGCATCAAAAAGTTATTA